CGATTCTGGCTTGGATAACGTGATATCGATTCATTAAAATCCTGAATCGATTTTTAAATATAAATTTATTTTGCCTGAAACGCCAGAATCTCAGGTTAAACCTCACAAAATTTCTACAACCACCAAACATCTGAAACAGTAGATGAGAGCAGGTACACGGATTCTGCACGAAGACGTAAACACAAACACAACCCAACGCATCTGAATCAGTGAGATGTCGCCTTTTCACCCGACGGCACGTACGCAGACACGGACACGGACACGCCGTCGGGGCTGAAAGCCGACTGCTCACTGATTTTGAAGCGTCGGCGGGCGCTTTGTGTTTCTGTGCTTTTTGTGCTAGATTCTGAAGCTGCAGCTTTTATCTCTCTCCAAACAATACTGACTGAACCAGCAGCAAAAGAAGATCCAAACTACGCTTCACATTTTGCTTCACATAAACATCGTCACGAATTTCCTCTTACTTTTGCTGTTTTGCTTCCACCACGATAAAAATCACACTTCCTGACTCACTTCAAGAACAGTTTCCCATTTAAAAATCTCTGTTTTCTGCATTAGTCGCTTACTTACCCACCAGTCTTAGGTGTCGGCCGCTGTTTGTTTTTTGTTTTTTCGTTTTGGTTTGTTTTGGGTTTTTTGCTTACTTCCGACAAGAAAGCCTCATTTCTCCTGTTCAATTCTGAACAAATTTAAACTTTTTAAAATTATGCAAAATTGCAAAATGCTTAACTGTGTCTCTAATCAAACTTTATTTAATAAATCACTTTTACTTTTTCTACTTTTTCCACTAAATGCATCCTATACTAAATATACATCACAAACTGATGTACATGAATACTGTTTTTCTGTATGAAGGTGACCAGCTGCTAAGTGCCAAAGTCTACTTTGACAATGTGAGGTATGAAGACGCTTTAAAAATCCTTCAGTGCGCAGAGCCATATAGGGTCAGCTTCCAGCTTAAGCGAACCATCCCTGGAGCGGATGGCAGCGTGCGCCCAAAGGTTCCCAGTGTGGAGGTCAAAGGTCCCAAAGTCAAGATGGGCAAAATGGTAAAGTAGCTTTATCAATTTATTGTAATCACTTTTAATCCTGAAAGCCATTGTGCTGAAAAAATATATTGTGAGTGATCAACTAGTACAGATAGATGCAGGTCTTTAAATGTTGTTGACTGATGCTCTTGTCACACGTGTTTCTTTCAGAGTGTGAAGGGGACCAAACCATTTAAGACTCAGAAGAAACGAGGTGGACGTTTTGGTCTGAAAAGGCTAAAAGAGAAGCGAAGAGAGGAGCTGGTGGTAGAGGGAACACCTCCCAGGCTGGAGATGAGTGATGTAGAGTTTTCTCTTCCCAAATTCAAACAAAGGAAAAGTCCAAAAGTTGAAGTAGAGGAAGCCAGAGGAGCAGCAGTTGAGAGGAAGGCAAAGAAGAGGATGAGGTTGGCCTTTTTTGTTTGTTTCTTTCTCTTTGGTAGTTCCAAATAATACTACAATGCAATGCTTGTTGTACATTAAATTGCACAACATTAAATTATATCTATTGTAATGTTGTGCTTTAAATTAGATATAATCTTTTGGGGAAATATTACAATGTTCTTTCCTATTTCCTTTTTTCCTCCTTTTTTCCAAGGTTCCCGCAAAAAGGAGCAAAAGTGGAGACAGGACGGTTTGAAGGACAAGTGAATATTTCCCCATCTGAAATGCCTGGAGCTAAAGTGAAAAGCAAAGGAAAAGGACACAAGTTTGGCATCACCTTTCCTACAAGCAAACACACAAAGTCAGGCTCTACTTTGGAAACTGGATCTGTGGAGCTGAAGCCTCCGGGGGTAAACATCCAGCCGCCATCTGTGGAGTTCAGTTTGTCTGCTAATAAAGATGTGGAGAAGGGAGCATCTAAAGTTAGCCTACCTGATGTGGAGTTTGCTCTCCCTTCAGGAAAAGCTGAGACATCTTTGCCCAGTGTGAAGGGAACGGCCAAAATCAAAGCTCCTGAAATGGACATCAAAGGAAGAGCTGAAACAGCTGAAGGAAAAGTTCATGTAGATGCAGACAAAGGAGATGCAAAGGTCAGAATGCCAAAGTTGAAACTACCCAAAGTTAGACTCTCACACCATTCAGATGAAATTGATGGTGACATCAAGGTAAAAGCTGGAGGCATCAAAATGCCTCACACTGACATAAAACCTCCAGAGGTAGAAGTCAAAGGAGATGGGCAGATCGCTCTTCCCTCTGTTGATATTTCTTTGCCTAAAGTGAAGGGAAAGACTGACATATTGATCAAAGATCACGAAGGAATTTGGAAGACTGCAATCAACATGCCTGCCAGTGACATCTCTGTAGCTGATATTGATTTGGAATTAGACAGCGGACGGAGAATTCCTGATGAGGTCGAGGGCACTTTTAAAGGGCCCAAGATCTCTATGCCAAAGGTTGATATCTCACTACCTAAGATGGGATCATCGGTGGACACTGAGTGCCCAGAAGTGGAAGGAAAATTCTCTCTACCTTCTGTTGAGCTCTCACTCCCAAAGGTCCAATCAGATAGTGGAGATGTCCATATGGACTACTATGTTGGTGGTGATGGAAAATTCAAAATGCCTGATTTTGACATTTCTCAACCAGGAGAAGTAAACATAAGGGGGCAAGGTGTGGAAGGGGAATTCAAGTTACCCAAAGTGGACCTGATCCTTCCCAAAGGCAAAGCAGAAGTGACTGATGTTGAAGGGGAAGGAAATTTTCATTTACCACCAAGTGAAATCCAGATACCCTCTGATATTTCTCTTGAAAAGGGAAGGGCAAAGGGCAAAATTGAAATGGAGGCTCCCTCTGCTAAAGGACGATTCAAAATGCCTTCACTTGATGTCAGACTCCCTAAGATGGGAACATCTGAAACTGAGGCTAATTTACATGGTTCTGATATCAAAGGAGGGAAAATTGAGGTGCCATCAATAGATGTTTCTCTGTCAAAAGACAAGGGAGGGGCTGAAACTGATGGAAAAGGAAGCAATTTTAAAATGCCTTCATGCAATATATCCCTACCAAAACTGAAGCCATCTGAAAAAGAGGTTGTTTTAGAAGGAAGTGAAGTAAAAGGAGGCAAACTCAGCATGCCCACTGTAGACATTTCTCCTCCAAAAATAAAGCTACCTGACCCTGATGTCAAATTTGAAGGACCAGAACTTCCAGGTGTTGACTTTTCACTATCCAAGCCAAACACTGAGGCCAATGTGGAGCTCAGTGGCAGTGGGGGTGGCAAGTTCCAGCTCCCAACTTTTGATATCTCACTTCCAAAGGTGCCCACCAAAGAAGGAGAATTTGATACTGAATCTAAAGCAAAAGGAGGAGCAAAGTTCAACGTCCCATCACTTGACTTCTCTCTTCCTGTAATGAAATCACCAGAGGGAGAGGTAAAGCTTGAGAGCCCTGAAGTCAAAGGAAGAAAATTCCAGATGCCTTCTTTTGATGTCTCACTACCAAAGATGAAGATGCCTGAGGGAAATCTTGTCCTAGAAGGACCTTCTCTTGACATCTCTCCTCCAAAGGGAAAAGCAAAAGGAAAAGCAGAGGGTGACATACAAGTAAAAAGTAAAGGAGAACCTTTTCAAATCCCTTCAGTTGATGTTTCTCTACCTCAAATTAAATCAAAGCAAGGTGATATAAAGGTTGAAGGACCAGAAATTACCTTTGAAGGTAATGGGAAAGGAGGTAAATTCAATTTGCCATCTGTTGACATTGATCTTCCTGTTGTAAAAATGCCAACTGTTGATATTTCACTTCCAAAAGGTAAAGAAGAGGGAGAAGTTGACACTGGCATTGACATAAACACTGAAGGGCCTGAAGGTAGAGGAGGAAAGATAACAATGCCAAAATTTGACATTTCTTTACCAAAGGTAAATTTTCCTGAGGGTGATGTCAAATTAAAAGGACCTGAAACAAAGGGAAGAAAGATTGAAATGCCAGATATTGACATATCACTCCCCAAAGGAAAAGTAGGGGGGAAAATTGAAGGGCACACTGGCAAAGGCAACAAGTTCAACATGCCCTCTATTAACATCTCTCTCCCTAAAATAAAATCTAAAAGACCAGATATAGATACTGAAGGTCCTCAAGGCAAAGGTGGAAAACCAAACATGCCATCCATAGATCTTTCTACACCTAATATAAAATCTCAGGATGTAGATG